GAAAGTTCGTTTTGCTTGTGTGAAAGATTATTATAGAGGTATTTTTTTATGTGGATCGAATAAGGATAAATTACGGTAATAATTTATTTTAATATTATGTAATATTTGTATACATTAATATTTTTCAGCCAATTAATAATTATATTAGTAAACTTCATTTCGTCATTGAACGAGGTATGCCCATCAACACGGGATACCTATTAGGAAAGTAGGTACTAAGAAGATTTTTAAACACTTCCATGCCAATATGTATAATAATACGAGTAAATGCGAAAGTAACTCTGTCTGTCTGTTACGTTTTCAATCCTAAACCGCTGAACCAATTTTGATGAGGTTTGGTATAGAGGGTGATGGCACCTTGGAGAACGACATAGTATACTTTTTGTCACAAAAAATACTCAACAAAAAACTTCAAAGGGGTGTAATAGGGGTTGTAAATTTGTATTGGGAACAAATATTTTTTTTAAGTTAAGGACAAAAAAATTATTATATGCTTTAGCATTTGGTCAGAAATAAAGAATATTTCGGTGTTTATGACCAATCAAGGTAAAATACGGGATGATTTTAATTTTTTTTAAAGTGCTTACCTACTTTTCTATACCTATGTAAATATAGCCTATCTATTCCATACTAAGCGTCAAAATGTATCTAGGGATAAAACCAAGCGAAGCCGGGATGAGTCGCTAGTATTATATATTATAGTCAATATTTTACTAACAATGAGTGTAGCGATGTCTGTCTTTTGCCTTCCTAGTTTTATAGATTATTCTACCTTTCATTGATTAACGTCATGTCTAACAAGTTTCCATATTCCGACAAAAACTTTTAATAACTGGTTAGCATAGCGATTTAACTGTTAACTCGGTGGGCTTAAGTTTCGATTCCCGGCTCACTGTTAATCTGTCTGTTTATCTGTATAAATATTATAAATGTGAAAGTTTGTGAGTATGTATGGATGTTTGTTACTCTTTCACGCCAGAACGGCTAAACGGATCTCGATGAAATTTGGCTCAGAGATAAATTATATTCTGGAATAACACATACTTTTTATCCCGGAAAAATATACTGTTCCCGAGGGATAGATTTGTTTTTGTTTTTCTAGAGGCGCTAGTGCCTTCATAACCTATTCAGTAAATATGCATCGTAATGGTTGTAGTGTACGTATTTGTGGTCATGTTTTGTGGTAACGAAAGTAGAATTCGATGTGGTTAGTATAAATACAAACAATTACGTGTGATTTGGTTTTATTTTCAATTAAAGTGTTTAAATGGTCGCTGTTACGTGTGACTGACAATGGCCCTGAGTCATAAGGGGTGCAAAAATTAAAAATATGATTACTCGATATCCTTATACTGTGACTACAAATGAGTTTATTTATTTGTTTGTTACCTCTTAATGTCTCAACTAATCGTAATGAAAGACATGAACGTAGTGGTTTGATAGGAAGTGTTTATGGACATGGAACAAATATTTCACGTAGGTTAACCGTATAAACAATTTCATATGGGCCTAAACAAAGTGAGGACGAACAGCTAGTTAAAAATCAATTTAATGTTTTAACTAAACTATTTTTTAATTTAAAATTAATATTTTATAATTTAAATTAAAAAAAAATTAAGTATTTTTTAATTGCAACAAGAATAAGAATGCCTAGATCGGTAAATAAAATTTTTAATACCTAATCGGTACTAAATTGACTGTTTAACTAAATTTCTTTATCTTTGTTCAATTTAAAACCATTAAGTATCTACTTCCTGATACGAAAGCGGAATTTGTAAAACAATGTCAGGTAAAATGAAAACGCGCCTTATTATGGGCATTCGAACTATTTACGAAGTATTTTTACTTGCCGTTTAAGGATCGAACGAGCTTTTTAGTGATTCTTTTTCTTTCTTCGAAACAGCGACGACAATGGTTCGAAAAATAATTGATTTTGGGTCGACTGTTTAAAATTAAACGGTTTATTTTTTTTTTGTTTTTAACACTTCTTTATCAATCAAATTCTTTTCGAAGTGAAAACTTCTATAGGCAGGTTTGGATGGGGAGTAAATTCATTTAAGTCGTCATCGACATGGTCACGTGACGTGTCAACACACAGAGTGTCGATAGATATCAAACCAGATAAATGTAAACAGTTTTAGTTTACAAACTTTAATTTAAGATCAAATAATTAATTTAAATATTCAAAAATAACAACTGTTTGTTTATAGTTTAAAGTTTTCACTTCTGTCGGCAGTCCTCATGACTGTTTTTTTCTTATTTACTTTATTTTATATTTAAGTATAAGTTAATGAAGTAATTAAACCAAATAACTATATTCTTAGTAATAACTACTTAGTTTCGATAAATCGATGTACACATCTTTTTGTTATAAACTACAGATGCAGGACATATAGTGTCTATTGTGGGATTTCACACGCGCTTGTTTTAGCTTTTTTTAATGGCAAATAATAATAAATATTACGTTGTTATTTGTTATTTTACTAATTCAAACTCAATTTTATTCAGCATTAAATTATTACATTTTTTTACTGAACGCCATGAGTGTACCGAATTCCGATAAATCCATACTAATATTATGAATGTGAAAGTGTGTTTGTTTATTTATTTGTTTCTCCTTCTTTCACGTCAAAACAGAGTGACGGATTGGCGTTTGTGTGAGAAGATAGTTGGAGGGCTGGAGAGTGACATAATTCGTTGGCTCACAATTACAAGGTTCTATGTTACAATTTTAGTACTTATTTAGTTATTAATGTTACAAGGTTTTGTGTCATTAACTACAGTTTTGCAAAAACAAACCACTAGATAGCGGCACTATAACTACAAAATATTCAATTTTACATAGTTCTATGTTGTTTTTTTTTACGATAACAAAATAACAAAGTTCTATGTAAAAATTACTAAACTTTATTAAAATTAACATAGAACCTTGTAATAGTGAGCCAACGTTATGCCACTTGACGTCGGGAGATTATCTCATTCCTACGGGAAACACGTTATAATTGAAACTTCGTATTAATGTTTTTTAATACACTTAAATAAATACGTGCTTTAGAATTTTAAAATGCATCCCATATGAGCGTGAAAGTTTGTATGAAACCTACCTTTTTAGTTTTTTTTTTGTAGTTTTAGCACGAGCGAAGCCACGGGTTCTGCTAGTATTTATATAGGCACCATAAGAGTTCAAAATTTTGTCCCAAATTAAAATGTAATTTGGAGTCACTAGCGTCACCGAAATATACACAACAGATGCACGTGAGGCGACGCACGCCACATGCCATATTTTTTATTTATACTCTGCTATCTTTTTATTTCACCGACAATTTGCTAGATTTATTGGAAGTGAAATTTATTTTATAAATTGTCGTTCGAATTTGATTTATTTTAGTTTTTGTAACGTGCTAGTTTTATAATATATTATTAAATCTTAGCCAAATTGAAATTCCTAGAACATTACTATTTTTTAATTATAATATAAATGATAAATCTTTTCTACCTTCACATTTTACCACCCTGTTATTGATGTTTTAAATAAGTAGATTGTTGCTTTTTAGTTTAAGCTCAAACAAACTTATAAACACGAGCTCAATTTCATATTTTATATCGCAAAGTGACGTATGCTATTTAATTTTCATAATATTATTTAGAATTTTAAAAATATATTTTAATTTAACAATTCGCACACTCTTTTCTCCAAAATTGGTAAACTATCACGTTTTAGGTCTGATGGACGTAAATAAAAGCTGCAAGCGAAACTAACAAAGGCTGAACTGAAAATAGACTGCTTCCTGTGACGTCACGCTTCCGTGCCTCGTATAGTCTGTGCCTAGGTTGTAACTGTTTTATTGTTTGGCAACCACTAATATGGCAAAAGAGCTATACATATACTCATATCTCAGTCTAAGGTATTATATATACAGACTTCAAAGTGTCATAGAACTAAACGTGAAACCAAAAAAATAAAAAAATGTTAATAAATAAAAATAACCAACGGTTTTTATTATAATAAAGGATAAAGGAAATAATTTGAATAAGCTAATATTATGCTATCTATAGCATTAGCTCACTTAAATTCTTGATAAAAAAAATATACAGCCGATTTGAGAACCTCCTTTTTTAAGAAGTCGGTTGAAAAATACAAATTAATTTAGTGCTATTTTTGTTATTCAGTATTTTTATATTTAAATTTTTCTCAAAAATTGTAAATTCTTTGAGGAAAGTTAACGCGCTACTATTTTTGACTTTGTCTAAGTTTTTTTGCCAGGCACTATCTGTGTAATGTGACGATATATTAATGTTAAATGGAATATAAAATAATACTTTATTTATTTGATGCTAATACGATTTAATCTAAATCACCTATGTTTTTTGTATGTATTCTAACAAATGTATATTATAACCTAAATTGTTAATAAAGAAGCGCTACATCTACAACCTAACAGCTAACTGAAATATTTGGGTTGTATACTTCCTGCCGGATACGTCTCTTCGTGGGATAGTAAAAATTATTTAAATTTAAAATATTGCCGGTATGCCTCATTAAGATTATATAATATTTGGGCTGTCCCAAGCAGTGATTTACAGTTTCGATATTTGAACATCCGCTAAATTATTTTACTCTGTATTCAGTAACTTTTAACCCGTCGCTTTAATTTTGCCATGAAAATGCGTTTTATACTCATATGTAGTCTAAGTAAAATTCATAATTAGATGCCAATGCGTCAATCGTCCAAATACGTTTGTCAAATAATTTGAACGTATTGACAAACATGTATTGATTGGTTGAACATTTATACAAACAAATGTAGGATGAATCTACATAAATAAAAAATATATTATGATAATAAAAAAAAACCGACTGCATAAAAGCTAACTAAAAAGACGAAAACTATACAAAACTAGATAGCTATGAGTTTTAAATAAACTGAACAATTTCATACGTCTGTACAATCTCAAAAAATGTTAACATTTTGTTTAAATCACTGTCTGTTTATTTCCAGGGTGGCGACGAACACTCCGCACCTCGTGAGTCTCGGCACCGGCCGCCTTAGCACCGCAGTCACATTGCATCCCATCAAACAAGGTATTTACCTAAGAATAAGGAGGAAGGCATAAAATCTCTTACAAATAAACTATTATACATAAAAAATGTAAAATTAGGAATTATGGTAGTCTACCATCGTCAACATGCCCAGCTGTCAGCTACAGATGGTCTATACAAAAATGTTTGGGAGGTAAAAGTTTATAAACACTTAACTTTTTGAATATTATAATTTATAATAGATACATGATTTTACCAGAACATTTGAAAGACATTTTTATATGGTGGAAGGACCATATTGACTATAAATTGTTCATTTCAAATAAAAATATATAATTCACTTACAATATTAAGGGATGCATCAAATACTGGCTGGGGCTTGTAATGATGAACTATTACAGTCAGTTCAGTTTACAAATTTAATAAAGTATTAATATTATAATATTTACTTTAAGAACTTAACTTAAGAAACCTCTCAACATAATTATAAACGTATAGAAATATATAAAGACTACCGACTCACCTTCTCATTCACACCCTTCTCACTCGCATCGCTCGGGTTCGTCCCTAGCTTGCTTCCCAATACAAACTTTCATTCCCATTTTCACCCCCTTAAGGGACGATTTCCGGGATAAAAAGTCCCTATGTCCTTCCCAGGGTCTCAAACTATCTTCTTACCAAATTTCATCTAAATCCGTTCAGTAGATCCAAAGATTACCCCCTACAACTCATAAACTCGCAAACTTTACCTCATTATAATATTAGTATAGATTGAATATATTTTATAACAATTGTGCTTAATTTCCCTCGTGTACTTTGCTATATTTCTGTGAATGAAATGCTTGCATTTAGAGAAGAATAAGAAATTACTTGTCATTATGAACGTTTTTATAATGTGATAAAGGATAGATCTTAATTTGTTGGACATACAATAGACTAAATAAAAAACAAACTCATATCACCTTTCAAGGTAAACAAACTAAATTAAAATTGGTTTATTCGTTTGAGCGCAACGATATCACAAACAGACACAAATACACACGTTAAACTTATAACACCCTTTCTTTTTGCGTCGGAGGTTAATAACCTGTAGAATCAGCTGTTTAAATATTAGTGACAAATCAAGATTAACAATAATATTGACCTACTAATGACTCAACCTCGGTCCGTTCGGGATTATACTTACGCTAACGTTAACGCTAAAGTTTAATATAGATTCCTCAGAGATGAGATATTTTCCCGCAATAAAAAGTATCTTAAATATTGATCCGATTAACTAGCTATCATCATACCAAATTTCATCATAATCTGTCCAGGAGTCTGAGACACACAGACAAAAAATTTAATAACTATAAATTCGACCTTTAAATCGACTTACTATTTCAATAAAATTTACCAAAAATTTTTTAATATACAAATTCCACTCAGAATTTTATTATATGTATAGATAATAGAAAGTAAAGTCTCACAGAAGTCCCTTACTGGAAATACGCCATTTCAATTAAATTAACAAACGGCGAGAAGAGAATATTGACATAGTTTACAATTTACCTATACCAATTTAATTATGAGGTTACGTATCGCGTGTTCGCGGATAGCCTTAGAGTTTGTTGCTCTAGCATTCTTCATAGCTAAAAGATATAATTACACTATAGTTATTTACCATTGTAATTTTAAATATTGTCAACTTACTTGTTACTGTGGGGGCGACTAAGCAAAAATCGTACGTAAGTCGCGAATACAGACCGGAAAAAGTTTGAAGTCAGAAAAAAATTAAAATAACTTAAATATTTATATTTATAATATACATGTATTTAAAGTTATATATGTGTAGTGTATCAACTATCTGGTATCTATAACAAAGGCATCGTAGCTTACCATGTAACTAGATGGTGCTGTGTGTTAATGTCCCAACATATTTATTTATTATTTATTTAAAGATAAGTACTAAATCTTACTTATTCAAAGTTATTTAAAATAAGCAAAGGTAGCTTTATGTACTCAAGCTACCTTTATTTGCCGACAGGAGTAAATGTCCCGTGCTGCGTTTTTGTGATAATTTATGCGAAACTGAATTTGTATAATAGGTATTCCAAGCCCCTTTCAACCAATACACAATGAAGCGTGCGTATAACACGTGCTTAACGTAAAGAAATTGCGATAATGGCTTTTGCAATGTGAATACCACCTTTTTGCATCCTAAGCACGGACATGACGAAAAATAAAATTATCTACACATACTAATATTATAAAGAGGTAGAGTTTGTTTGTTTGAACGCGCTAATCTCTAGAACTACTAATCCCATTTAAAAATATATTTTTGCTTGCATATTGCGTTTATTGAGGAAGGCTTATTTATCATCATGTTTCTACCCAAGGGAGCGGTGTAGTAATTATAATTGTCAACAAATCGGGCAGACTCATACGTTATTACTAAATGAAAGAAGCTGCGGGTTCTGCTATGACTTATAAAATAAACTTAAGTATCTATTAAAAATATTTTTTCCGTCTAAAAGCTGGGCTAAAAATATTTATTTTTTTGTCTGGCTAATGACTGTCCCCTCTACTTACGTGTATAATTTGACTCTTCCCAAAACTAACCTGTTTTGTTCCAAAAGGAACAAAAGGATTATTATTTTTTTGAAATAATAAAAATATTGGGTCCGAAATACGTTATTTTGGTATAAACTTTGCTTTTCTTTCCAAATAAATTGATTTTCAAAAAATCCATTCTCAGCGATTACCTATTATGTTAATATTGAATTACCATTTTTTAGTATTCTATTGTACAAATTAAAACACTAACAATTTCGTTCCAGGTCGCGTAACAATCGGTTCAGATCCCACATGCGATATCTACGTCGTAGGCACAGGGGTGGCAAATGTGCACTGTAGGGTGGAAAATTCACATGGAGTTGTTACCCTGTACCCTATCAGCGGTACAACCCTACTCGATGGACTACCGGTGGAGAAACCTACGAGATTGTCACAAGGTATGTAAACCTGTACTTGTTTTTATCCACTTTTAATCTAAGTGGCGGATCTCAATTCGTAAGAACTGGGTGTACTTACATTTATGAGGTTGATATCTTTACTAAAGGTACCTATAATTCCTTTTTTAAGAACAGGCTCTAGATATCTCAAAGGTGTTATTTAAAATGCAATATTTTTTTAAACCTTAAAGGTGGTTTCCATACGATACAGACTTTAGTAAACTATAGAATTTGTGTGTGTAAAAAGTAGTACAGATAAATGTTAGTGTATAAGAAGAGCTGGAAGGGTACATGTAGAGTGCTCATTTTGTAAATTTTTGGTTAAATCTAGTCCTGCCGATGTACATTATAAATTATAATATTAAAATAAAATAAATTTTATAATAATAAAAGAAATTGATCGGAAAACTAAAAAAAAATACAAGATTCAAACTTTGAAGTAATGAAAGGTTGCACAACTTGTATGTATTGTATATTGGAGAATAATTAATTATTTTTAAAAATATTTTGAAATTGGTGTCAACTAGAGTAAAAAAAATATGCAAAACTTTCTTATTTAAAAGCGGAAGTCGGTCGAAAAAACCAAAGTTGATGGAGTTTCTATTCAATCATTGTTTATTAATTTACGGCTTCTCTTAAAGAATCGTTTTTAAGTCGCTGAAATACCTTACGGAGAGTACACTTTTTTTTCGTTATAAGATTCAATAGTGTTTATTTACTTGAAAAATAATTATTTTTTACCCCACTTCATAAAAGGTTTTATGTTTATTAAATGTCAAATGATGTTTGATTCAATAGAGGTAAAAACGAGAATATATAGTGTTATTATGCTATCAAGCTTTGCCATAGAATACGTTAGCCGGTGCGAAAATGTTATTAGTAAATATTATATAGTTAAAACTTTGTATGAAAAATAATTTATGAAACTTTTGTTTCAAGTGTCCTTAAATTTATTGTACCTACGTTTTAACGTACATTGTAGCGTTGAAAAGTTATAAAAAAGTAAGAGTTATGTGAATTCTACACAAGTATCTCTCACGGCTCGTCAAAAGTTTATAGCATAGCCATAAACCTCGGTAATTATATGGTGAAGTTTTTTATATTATATCATTAATGGTACTAAAAAATGAGCTTAACTCAATGGTGTAACATTTTATAACTTTACTAGCGATATACCTGGGTTTCGTTCAGAGTTGTCTCTGAATAAGATTTGCACTGAAATAATTTCCAATGGAAAATGAAAGGGTTAGAAAGTAATAAATATTACTAAATAAATAAATAAATATGTTAGGACATTAACAAACAGCACCATCTAGTTCCACGGTAAGCTACGAGGCCTGTGTTATGGATACCATATAGTTGATACACTACACATAAGACTATATAATTTTAAATACATACATATTATAAATATTACTGCATGGCTCATGATTTTTTATGCAAAAAAAACATCAATCTGTTGCTTTGTTCTTGCATTAAAGAAGAACATACCAACACACTCGCAATTCGTTTATATTATTAGTACTTAAGTCTATTATTACAAAGTATATACTGCCTTTGACTCTACTAAACCGATTTAAGTGCAACTTTGTTATATAATGTACACATATTAAGAAAGAGACGAACAGATAAGAATTTTACTTCTACACACCTTGACCACAACATTGTTAGGATTGTATGATCGGAAATTAAAGAACGTCACTTGCACTAAAAGGTTTTATTGCTGTTTTTATTATTGTTCAGGCGTCCATTTTGTTATATCTTTTACATTATCAACTGTACAACAATGTAGGTATCCTTGGTTGCACTTATAAGTTATAGGTACCTGTATCTTATAATCCATACTTCCACAATAATATTATAAATGTGAAAGTGTGTTTGTTTGTCCTTCTTTCACGTCGAAACGGAGTGACGGATTGGCGTGAATTTTTCTGTGGAGATAGTTGAAGGGCTGGAGAGTGACATAGGCTACCGCGGGAGATTATCTAATTCCCACGGGAAAACACGTTATAATACAATCCAAAAAAAAATGTGGTCAGAATTACTTAAAACTTGGTATTAATGCACTTCAATAAAATTAAATAAATACGTGTTTTACTATTTTTCAAAATTCATCCTATAAGGGGGTAAAATAGGGGACGAACTTTTGTATGAAACTACCTTTTTAGATTTTTTTTTTGTAGTTTTAGCGCGAGCGAAGCCGCGGGTTCTGCTAGTAATTAATAAATAAGCTATTCATGTATATAAATAAATTTAATTCGTGTCTCTCGAATATAGGAGTCTTTTTTGAAAACATCCATTTTTTGTATCTTTTCCGAAAAAACTCCGAGCAAAACTCAGTTGCCCAGGCACGCAATAATAAAAAAATATCTACTTTTTTATGTAACTACTAAAATATTATAACCTAACATTTATCTCATTTTAAAGACCTAAAGCTATGTGCACAGAAATTATTTATCACCCCACACTTGATATGTATCTATACATATAATAAAATTGTAACTAAGCCGAATCTGTACATTAGATATTTTTTGGAAAATCTTATTGAAATAAACATTATTATCGATACAGAGACCGAATCTATAGTTTTTAGAATTTTTGTCTATTACCCCATCACAGAAAAATCACTGGAGGGATTTTGATGAAATTTGGTATGGTAATAGCTGGTTATCCGGTTCAACATACCTATACGATGCTTTTTACTGCGGGAAAATGTCTCATTTATGTATGAAGGATAAACAACACCTGCCTTTCAAATTTCAGCTCTATAGTAGTAATGACTACCTATGACATATGGACATAGCGAAAACCCTATAAAAATGAATATTCAATATATGTATTGTAATCTTAAATACATAATTATGTCACAGTGACGAAGAGTCCATACAAGACGTCTTACCTTAAAATTATTTTCCTATAATTTTACATATATTTAATTTTTTAATATAAATAATTTAAATGTATAAATGTTCTTTTATATATATATATATATATATATATATATATATATATATATTTATTAGCTTTATTTCTTTCTGTATTATTACGTATATAAAAATTGTATATTTTTGGAACGGCTTACCTCTGCTAAAATTTCACCCTTCGCCGTTATTGTCATAAGAATTGTCCTAAAATTTTCTTAATATGAATACTAATGTAAAAATTAAAAAAAAATATATTTTACAAATTTCCAGGTAGCATGTTGACGATCGGTCGCTCGAACTACCTCCGCTTCAACCATCCGGAAGAAGCGAAGCTAATGAAATCTGTGCTTCCTTCTGGGCACGTGTCGATGGCGCCCATACAATTTACGCCTAATGATCAATGCTTACCCACGGGTAATGTATAGTATTATTATTATTATTTACTACTAACTGCCTCGGTGGTGTAGTGGCTAGCATGTACGGCTGCACACTCGGAGGTCCTGGGTTCGAGTCCCGGGTCGGGCCAAGTTTAGTTACTGAGTCTTTCTGTATAGTAAGTCTCAGTAACAGCCCGGATTTGGAAAGTTGGCGGTGTTTCACCCCCGTGCCTCGGAGAGCACGTAAAGCCGTCGGTCCTGCGCCTTAACTCTCATTGGTCGTGTCGAGAACTCGTCCCACCGGAGTATGAGAATGACAGGAACAGAGAGTGGACGTTGTGTCTGCGCGTACACGTGTGCACTATAATATCCCCTGCGCAGTTGGCTAGTCTCAATGAGATTGTCCGCCGTAGCCGGAATCGGCTAGGAGAACATCATCATTGTTTACTAGCGATTCCTCGTTGCTCTGTCCACGTAGTTTTTGCGCAAAAGAGTAAGGAAAATACATCATTACAAACTTTTATATTTATAATATTAGTAGGACTTGGTACTTACCCTTGTTCGGGTACGTCCTTCAGTAGCTTCTTTACCTATATATATAAAACAAAGTCGGATTTGTTACAACACTTATAACTCGAGAACTGATGGACCGATTTTCATGTTTTTTCATTTGTTGGATTTGTCTCCGCCCCGAATAGTAGAATAACTATTAAAGCATTAGAAGAAAAAAATCACGTAAAAATAATTATATGGCTAACGCTGGCTAATAACTATTTATATCTATATAATGTAGCGAAACGAGGGTGAGCCGCTAGTTTATAATATTCTATACTTGCAGCTCCCTTTGACAATTTTCACTGAATACTTTTGTTATTCCAGGCTATGTTAACCACCACTCTGACCCGACCAACCAATGTTACCAGAACATACAAAAAATATACAAAGAAAACTCTCTATCGCAACTCGACCACGAATTGGATATGACATTAAAAGAAATGTCTAGAAAAAAACCGCCCGTAGCTCCTAGGAAACCATATAAAGATGATACGGACTCGAATTCAGATCAAGAAGGCAGGCCGAAAATAGGCAGTATAATGGCTAAAGTGTCAAAATTTGAATATTACGCGAAGCAACAAAAAAATGTCGGCCGAAGTCAATTTTACACGACAAATGAAATCGAAATATCTCCTAAAGTATTTAGCGCTAACTCTCTAACTGTCAATACTCCAGCAAAAGATGTATTAGGCAATAGAAACATACCGAATTATATGAGCAAAAAGCAAGAACAGAAAATGATTGTGTTAAACGAAAATAATAGTCTCGATCCAAAGAATTGTTCATACGCGAATGTTGCGATACGAAATAAAACTAAAATCGACGATATAGTTCGAAATTTCGATGATAGTTTAAAAAATGATGTTAAATTACCTAAAAAAGTTAATAACGATCAACAAAGTAGACCGGATAATAATATTTATGGTAAAATCAACATCGATCGCAAGGATTGCAAGAATAATTTAGATTGCAAGGCTGAGCCTAGCAAGAATAATTTGGAATGCAAGACTGAATCAAGCAAGAATAATTTGGATTGCAAGATTGAGAAAAGTTTTAACATGGATTTAAGTGAATATGGACGTTTATGTGGTGTTGGTAAAGTTGTATGTTTGTCTTCGCCGGCATTCGATAGGAACCCTCAATACTCACCGGTTTACGCAAACTGTCACTACGATAGAAGTATTGAAGCTGAAAATATGAGAATGAAGGTAAGCATAACTAACTTGTATTAAATTCTAAAATCATTACAAGAATTAAAAATTTAACTTGTGAGTCGTTCATCTGTTACTCTCAATAACAACTCAAGTTTTACTAGAAAATGTTAAGATTTCCCACGTAACGTATCACTTATATTATAAGTACTATGCGAGTGTATCTGTTTGTCACGTCTTACAGCTTAAAATGTATTAGTGAATTTCGTAATGGAGACAGCTTATATCTAAGATTTTCTACATAACATTAGCGAAGTAATCTGTGCTCAACTCGCTTTGAAGCCATTAACATGAGAATTGAATTGAATACCTAGGTTTAATACATTAGCTTTTTATTTACGAACTACAATCTAATTACATGAATGAAGCCGTAACCGTACAGCCGTAAACTAGTATAATATAATAATTTCTTCCCGATCTGAAATACTCGATAACTGAACTTTACAAGACCCGGGACTCGAACCCGCGACCTCCGGATCAACGGCCGTACACACTAACCATTAGGCAACCGAGACAGTACAATATAATAATTTACCTTCAACCATGACGTTTATAATCCAACCAAATCAACATTTATTGAATTAGAACTGATAAGGTTTTAATTGTAAGAAACAATAGCTCCTATTATATCTGAAGATAACGTGACGCGAAGATAAATATCAATATTGCGGTGTTACTGCGGCATAGTGTTTTATTGTGCGCATACGGCTAACAAATATCGTGTTAAATAAATTAAAATTATATTTAAATACGTCATATTGTTTTGTAGTGGCTATTAAGTCGATTATGATGTAACTTAAATTATTTGATAATCGGTTTGTTTTGATTATGTAGTGCGTAATTTAGACGAGACGTGGCATTTTATATAATATTAAAAAAATGTTATTAGTATATGCTTAGTGGAATTATAAAGTAACGTTTGTAGTGCTTAATTAGAGTTTATATTGTTTATTATTTTTTTGGTTTTGTGTGACAAACCAGAGGTAAAGTCTAGACGTTATATTTTATGTTGTTTCGTTATTTTTGTATTTTTTATTAATTTTTTTTTGGTTGCGAAGGTCACAGATAAAATAAATTTATTTTAACAAAAAAAAAATACTTGTGTCTAAGTTTTTTTAGTGTGACTTTTTATTAAGTGTTTAAGTGTAAAAATGACTTTTCAAAAATCGCAAACCAATAAGGGATCCCACAAACGTCTACTAAAACTGTTCGTATCAAATCTAAAGAAAAATACTCTAGCCCTCAAAGATTTGAAAACGTGCTTCGAATCGAAATGCCGCGTAAAAGAAAATATCGACAAAGTGAATGAAATCGCAAACTCAGTGAACGAAAAACTCGAAATCGTTCACAAACTTCGAAGCGACATAAAAATATATAGAACTATAAACACAATATTAACAAATCATTACATAAAAGAAACGAGAAATCACGAAAATACAATCGACGCAAAAATAATTAAATTAGAAAAACAAATTCTGCAGTCGTATGAAAATTTAAGAAGTGACATTAATTCCAAGATGGCCGGTGTCTGTGTTGCCAGTGAGAAAAATATTTCGGCGCCAATACAAAATAGTAATGTTATTATGGTTGGCAATGATTTGAAAATTAACCAGTTTAGTGAGTTTTACGTGAAAAATGAGATTTATAACACGATAATTAGGAAAATTGATAAGCTATTTTGTAGTTTGGTAAGTCATCGATAAACGAATGTGTTTTGAGTATTTTTAGTTGTTTTCCCTTAGTAGATTTTTATGTATTAGAGATATTAAGACTATCACGGCGGTCGCGGGATCGAGTCTCACTCGATTTTATATGTATTATATGTGCTTTTCCTGTGTTTATCGATCTGAGTGTGTATTCCGTGGGTTCAGTCTATTCTGTATACCTTACAACGTACCATACAACGTACGGTAGGCTAAAGGGGAAGTTAAATATTTAACATTGTTTATTAACCCATTTCCAAAAAGAAGGTTATATGTTTGGCCCTTTTTGTTTATTTATGTTTATATTTTTCTCATCTAAAGATGAGATATTCATTATCTTATGTATATGATGAGATTTCGACAATTATACTATAAGTAATATATAGATACTAGCGACTCACCCTTGCTCCGTTCGGATTCGTCCCTTATTTTTAAAGTTTAGTGTAGATTTCTCAGAGATGAGATATTTTCCCACTGTCAAAAGTATCCTATTTATTGACTCGGATAACCAGCTATCATCATACCAAATTTCATTAAAATCTGTCCAGTAATTTTCTCGTGATGCGTTCCCAGACAGAAAAAAATTCTAAAAACTGTAGATTCGGCCTCTGTATCGATAATTATGACTATTAAAAAAAGATTTTTCAAAAAATATTTAATGTACAGATTCGACTCAGTTAGAATTTTATTATATGTATAGATTTACTATATATTTATTTATATTTATAACTTTTTCAGGCATATCAAGACAGGATAAAGGAAGAGGAACAAAAAGAAGTAGAGACGGCCCGTTTGGAAGAAATACTCAACATGTGCGCTGAATACGAGAGACAGATAACTTCGGGTAATCTTTTTTTTGTATCTTATTATTTATTTATCCGTATTAATGAAATTGGGTTATCTTTTAGTGACATCGACCGATAGTATTTATTTTGTTTGTGTATTAATTATGATGTTTTTTTTTAATATAATGAGGTATGATTATTGTTTTAAGTAACGTTTAATCTCTGGATTATAATATTATACTAGTAATTTTGACACCCAAAGTTCAAAATATTTTTAGGAAAATATATATTTTTTTCAAAATAATTTACGTCGAAACCAATCAATCGATCATTAAATTAGAAAAAATGCATTACTCTTTGGAGACTTCTTCACTTTTTATTTTCGTTTTGAAGTATGTATGTAGTTCATAAAAATAGCTCGAAAAATTCTGAAATCCCACAATGAGTAGCATCAAAAACATATGTATAGATAGTCATATGCCATAGGTAGATTTTATTATTAGTTCTTAACTGACTCTAAAAATTATTGCTTACAATAACTACAATTGTTAACCTATTTTAGGATTCTTGAAGAGCTCTTAAGATGTATTTACTTATTTTAAAGTTGGGTAAAGAAAATAACATTAAATAGCAATAATATAAATTTTGCAGGTGTGCCAATAACACCGACGGAGAAAAGGCCTCACAATAAAATTATAACAAATGGCTCGCTACCGCGCAGTGTCTCTATGAACAACCCGAACTTCGTGCAAACTTCCGATGGATATTATAAGTAAGTGAATATTATGTATTCGTTTTCTATATATTGAAACTAGCGACAAGTATGTCCTTACTAGCCTAATAGTAGTATTCAGCATTTTTTAACGTCCCACTGCTGGGGGTGGGCCTCCCTTTAAATGCAGTCAGTCATCAGGCCATAGCCCACCACGCTGGCCAAGTGCAGGCAGTCTTATCAGGTCTTTCGAAAACTTGCTAGGTTCTCTCAGACATGCATGTTTCCTCGCGATATTTTCCTTCGCCGTAAGACAAGTGGTAATCATGATCTTCTTACCAAATTTCATCTAAATCGGTTTAGTAAAGCCAGAGATTACCCCCTACAACCTCACTAACTCACAAACTCGAAAACTTTACCTCTTTATAATATTAGTATAGATAATATATTTTTTTAATGAAATCCGTATCTTTAATTTTTTTACATTATATTATATGAACTAAAATAGGCTGTCCCTTACAGGTTCGATACTAGTCATAACAGATCTATGAATCAATCTCTGCCTATACCAAGAAATATGTCGAATTACGAAAACTTTGACACATCGCAATCTAACTTAGAGACTTTAACGCCAGAAGTCACTATTAGCGATAATAACTACGAAAACATCGGCAGAATGGATGAAATAGGCATACCAGTGTTTGATGAGCCTAGAAACGATTTATCTAGTCCCATAATGATAAGAAAATTGCAAAATCAAAGCTCCAATATATCGCCAATAGGCAGTCCATATGAAAATGTCTATTTCAAAAATAATTTAGGCTTCAAACCAAAGTCACCGAACACTCAAAGTCCCAGGACGAGGATAAAAACAACTTTCGCACACAAAAATCTGCCGTCTCCACAGTATTTTATATTCCCAACTCCGCCGCCTGTCGATAATTCGAATAAACCTAATTTTGATACTGCAAATAATGAGAACAGCAGTATGGCTACAGATAGTAATAGAGGAGACAAAATAAGTGGTATCGAAAAACAATTGAGCTTAGAAGAAGAGATACCAATGATTGACGATGATTTGACAAATGACATAGAATGTAGATATTCCAAAGTCATAACAGATAAAAATGATGAAACTAATGACAATAATGATCAAAATGATCAAATCGAGACTCTAACTAAAAATAAAAGCTTTGATGATGTCAAAAAAGAATTAATGGCTGACATACCAGAGTTAGAAGAGTTTGAAAGGGATTTAAAGGAAAATAAGCGTGAGAAAATTATACAGACAATAAGTGAGGATATAAAGAAAATGAACAATGAAGTAGATTCGATAGATAGCGCGGTCTTAGATGAAACCTTAGATGAACTGAAATCTAGATTTGAAAAATTAAAGGAAGAGAGAAAGAAGCTTGTGACGGAAATTCACGAAATTAAATGTAAAATGACGGAAATTAGATCGCAAGAGGATGATATTTTAAGAGAGGTATGTTTATTATTTTGTATAATATATAAAATAAGATATATGTACATACATACTATGTATTATGTATATTAAAACTCAATTTTTACATTGGTTAGCAATAACTTATAATATATTTGAAAAATCAATGTCGGAATTATGTAGTATTTATAACTATTGATTTTCCTACGACGCTTCTACTATTATATATTTGTTTAAATTATAGATTTTTTTATATTGTCATAATTTAACTTAAATTGTTCTGTGTTGTGCAGATATTAGTAATATGTATATTTTTATTCGAATGTATCACGTAAGTTTGTCTGTAAAAGTAAAAATGGCAGAACACTCATGGAATTTCCCTTGATTGTAACACATAATTATGTTTAAATTGACAAAAATTAATTTTTCATATGTAGGTACTAAATATTATAATTATTTTTGAAGTTATACTTCTTTTGGCACGTTTGAAAAAAAAATGAAAAAAAAGCGCACACCGACAGCCAAAAAGCGACACGATGAAATTAGCTGCATTCCTTTCACAAACAGAGAGTTGTGATATACGGGATTAAATCTTTAGCAATTTTTATTCTGTTACGCAAAAAAGTAACTTCTTACGTGCGTACATAAATATACACACATGTTTTTTTTTGCTATAGTTGGAAATGGAGAAAGCCCTAATCAAAGGAGAATATGACTCGGAAATAGCAATTCTAAATATAGAACAGAAGAAGAAATCAGATTTAATAGACAAAGCCAAGAGTATAGAGGAAGAAATCAAACGGTTAAAGGAGAAACAAGAATCGCGCCAGAATGAAATGAAAGACAGAGTGGAAGTAGCTACTACGAAGGTTGAAAGGTATGGAGAGTTTAAATAATATATTTTATCCATCGATCAAAAAAGTGATTTTATCTGTAATTTCATTAAGATTCCTAATTGTACTTATTCTAAACTAAGTTATTTTAAAATTTATAACCTATACATATAACAAAATTCTGAGTCGATTCTGTACATTAAATATTTTTTGGAAAATCTTATTGAAATAGTCATCATTATCGATACAGAGTACCGTAGCTTGTCTTGCAAATTTTTGTCTGTCTGTCTGACCGCATCACGAGAAAACCACTGGACTGATTTTGATGAAATTTGGTGTGATGACAGCAGGGTGGGTATCCGGGTGAACATATAGGAGAATACTATTTACTGTGGGAAAAATATATCTCATCTCTAAGAAATCTATACTAACTATACTATAACGTATTTATAATAAAAGATTAAAATTAATAAACGTAAAAATAGTAATCAAATCAGTTAACGTTATTTTTATTATTGTTCTTAACGTAATATTCGATATTAATTATTATAACTTAAAAAAATATTATATCCAATAATAATACTTTAAAGAAATTTTATTTTTGTTATTGCATAATTTTAAATAAAGCTGTAAGTTTACTTTACATGTTAAAGTATCAATATTGAATAAGTTATTTGAACGCCTGTAAAGGTGTATCACACGAATTAGATTTCTTTTTTTTTATTAAAAGTATGTCTTGTACCAATATGTTGATGCTATTTCTAAGATTAACTTATGAATATTAAGAATGTTGAATTATAAAATTTAAACTGTATAAAAAGTTATTTTTCCTAGAATTGAAAACGATATAAGAGAAAACAAAGCTACGTTAGAGGAATTACAGAACGCTCAAGACATATTGGACAATGAAACGAAAATATTTGAAGATCTAGAATTTCAACATTTGGAGGAAGAATCTGAGTTGTAAGTTATATTTATTTTGTTACTAGTAAATTTTACGTAAGTTTTTTTACTGACCCTTTGCATATCCCACGGGATTACTATGTATTTCCCAGTTGACGGGATTACTTTTTGTACTGACTGGCTGGCATAACTGAACAACCACAAATTATAATAAGTAATGTGTTTTTTTATATATTTAATGAAAATACTTCTTTGTTATCTATAGACAATATTATACATTAGTAAATTATTATTTATAACAATTAGTATATAACGCCTTGTCCCTTTATTGGTCAGTTTGTCAGTTTATAGCTCGAAAACTACTGATCTGATTTTTTTATTACACTTTATTAATATTCAAAAATGTTATTCCGTAATATTTAATAAAAAAATAACGTATCTTTAAAAACATTTTTTTTATTCACAGATTAGCAAATAGGGAAGATTTACAAAACGAAATAATGCTATTATCTAAGAAAATTGAGGCTCAAAAAACTAGAATATTAACTCTAAAATCGGAGGCAAATAATAATCTGACGTCAGCATTAGAAGAAACAAAAGTTTTACAAGCTGAATACGTTAAGCTTTTGAACCATGTCGAACATTTGACAGGCAAAGTTCAAATTATAGAAAAAGAAATCAAACCTATTGTTACTAAATTAAACGATATAGAGAGAACTCAGTCGCCGGATAGTGCGTTTTATACGGACCAAACTAGAGCGAAATCTGGTGAGTTCGGTTATTCCCCGCAAAATTCGGACAGCGATGACGTAGACGTGGCAAAAATATCAAATTTTGAAAACCACACTAAATTTTTAAAAGACAAATTCAATTCTATAGATCAAATGTCGCAATCTATGATAGTTGATATTGAAAGGCGCGTCATAACTGATCTTGATGATCCAATAGAAGTTGATAGTAGTCCGTCCAAATCTTCTAACTCTTCGAAAGAAAAGAAAGGCTTCTGGGAAAGAAATTTCGATTCGCTAAAACGGAAAAGTAAGGATAAGAAGAAAATCGAACCTAAAGTCGATCTGATGTCGCAGAGTCTCAACGAAAATATATTTTACAACGAAAACATAGAAGTGGATACATCTTTCGACAAATTTAATAGCCTCAGAAATTCAAAAAAGAAAGACAAAAAAGATAACGGACCCGTGAAAAGCAATTCGTCGTCCAAAATACCAACTTTTGCAGCGTTAGGGAAGATAATTAAAAAGGATTCGCTCAAACGAAAAGATAGTACGACGAAAAACGACGAAGAGACAAAAAATAGATACGTCAAAAACAAACCAATCATAACAGATAATAAATACATCAAATCAAAATCTCTATCGCCAGACAAGGCAGATACAATAAAGGAAGAAAATGAAAATTTGAAAGAAATAAAAGTCTTACATAGAAAAAGCTGTGGAGATGAACCTAACACAAGAGAATTCCAGAAAATAACGGATTCAGGCAAAATTCCGTCACAAGACGATATTGATAGGATTTCTAAAATAACTTTAGATGCGCCCATTTTGTCAAGCGATGACGTCAATTCGTTGGGAAAAAGAACTTTGGATAGTTTGATGGAGATTGAGAGGAAGAGAATGGAAATGCTAGAAGAGAAAGGTGAATTTGCTTTTTTTTTTAATTTTACCTTGTGCACAATTACTTATCTTTCAAGGGTGTAGCGTGATTTCTATGTAAAAAAGATATCAAATCGAAATCGAAAATTTACTTTAGAAAAGAGCAGATTACCGTGATGAAATTACCCGTATTATATACATATATTTAAAGTTTCATATTAATTCATTTAGAACATGGTCTGTGTGCCAATTTTCATCTTAATCTGTGCAATAATTTATGCATAATTAGTCACAAATATCCGAGTATTCAATGAATATTGTAAATGTTACAGATCATGTTATTTGATGCCAAATGTTTTGTTTATAGCGGCTTAGATCCCACTAACAAGAAAATTGGATTGAATTGAATAAATAAAACTGAGTCCCTTATATTTATGCTTATTTACATATATTTTTTTCAAATTTGTAAAGCCCTTTTTTTAGCTGTTCTTTGACCTTTTATACATAATGAAGTGTATGCGTTTCCATTAGGTTGTCAAGTGATAGAAGACGAACGTGAGAAAATATCCGAATTGAAACGACGAGTTCAAGACGAAACCAAAAAGCTCTGGGACCAACGCACCAAGGGCAAGACTGACAGCTGTCAGATGTCAACCGCCAGCCAAGTGTCACACGTCAGCCAACTGTCAAACGTCAGCCAGCTGTCAAACGTGAGCCAGCTGTCAAATGTCAGTCAGATGTCAGACTTTGACGGCAATGTGGAGGGCGCGAAAATGTTCGGCGCCATCGAAGACAGTTATGATGAATTTAACATGACCAACTCTACGATTTATGATGAGAGGTAAGTTTTATTCAAATCAAATTATATATTTATTGTTGTAACCTTCCAGTTATTACTTTTACACATTTTTTTTATAACAAATGAAAACCTAAAATACATACATATAAGTTATATTTAACATTGTAAATGCTATTCCTGTTGGTTTCACGTAACTGCAATAAAACCAACACATCGATATATTTTTAATTTCACGTAGTACAAATAACGATTGCCACCACTTTATTAGTATTTTTTCGGATTTTTTGGCGGATTTATTTTGATTTTCGGTTCCCGACGTTTCGAATGCTTTACAGCAATCATGGTCACGGGAGAGACTAAGGTTGTAGACATCTCAAAGGTTATTATATAGTTGTTACTTGTTACAGACAGTGCCTATCCATAACTTTACAAAATGATTTCAAAAATTCAAAAATGGTACCAAAGTACTCGTACCTCACAATATTTTTTGCTTTTAATTCTAAACATTTTAAACATTATAATTAAACATGGCAATATTAATAGTACGTGTTAAAAATAGTTAAACATAATGTAATTTCTGGAATGTTTTTGGATCTCATGAGATTGTTTTTTGCGTAAGTTTTTTTTTTTTAACTAAAACCAGCAGATCCTTACAACCGCAGCCCCAACTCCAAACCCCAAAGGACATGTTTGTTTTTGATGTGAAATGTCTTTAAAATCACAACGAAATGTATGGATACATACATATATATCAGATACAGGTCAGAAAAGTGGACCGTAATGATATAGGTTCCATTAGATTGTCATAGTATTCGTTGTTATTATCTGAAAAATTTCAAAAGGCATTTAAAAAATTATATATATGATATTTTTTCCGTTGGTATTATCAAAGATTGCTATTTTTACTAATTTTTTTTTCAAATATGCAATATATTTATAAATACAAATCCGGACAAGTGCGAGTCGGACTTGCCCACCGAAGATTCCGTACTTTGTAGGAAATTTGTTTAACTTTAATTTTCAACATTTTTATTTTTTGGATTTTTTAATTTATTTGTGCTGTAAGACATTGCTTTTTGCAAAATTGTGACACACGGACAAGAGAGTGTTCTTATAAGGGTCTATTTTTTACCTTTTGAGGTACAGAATCCTAAAAACAAAATCTTCAAAAGCGACTCGCTGAAATAGACGTTTCACGTTAAACCAACGACGGTGTGCCCCGACACAGCCCCACCCGATTTTTTACCATAAAATAGAAATTAATATTTTGTAAAAATATAATCATAATCTTCCAACACGATTAAAATTATATGATAATCTGCATATTTATTCACGAAACGAAACTTTCTAATCTATAAATGATAAATGAATCGTTAATCAAATAATTTGATTAACGATTTCGCATAGTTTTATCATATTTTATAATATTTTTAATGTTTATCATAATTACGAGTATATACGTACGTACACACACGGACATGTAATCTTTCGCATTTATAAAGGTAGTTTGGTAAAGGAATTTTACATTCATGGTATGGAGGTTAGTATATTCGGCTAAAGACCTTGAGGTCGTAGTTTCGAGTGCCGTTTCGTGTTTTTCTCTATAGGTCTCGCAACATGTCATATGCTAACGTTTTTTTTCACCGACAGATTATCCTTCGGTAAATATTTCATTGGAATTTGTTCTATAAAATTTTGTTGTCATTGGAACTTCTGTTCACGTTTTCTACCTACTTTTATGTTGGTATCGCTATTAATGAATTATTTTGAATTAAATATTCATTCCGATAACACCACGACGTCGTCACTTATGTACCTACTTCGGATATGGAAAAGTGAAACTGTTTCCTGAGAGTTTATATTCTAGGTATACTTTATACTTTCAATTTTCGTTCCAATTCGATAACCTACCTATAAGTTTGATTCCGCTTGATGTCAATATTAGCCGAGCAAAAGTTTTATCTATGTAGTCTTATTTAGACGAAAATATGAGAATATAGGGTTTTTTTTAATGTAATTTATGCGTTTGATGATGATCAGGTAGTCAATACAAAGGTCCTTCTGACCGATTTAGATATTATAATTTACACAGATATTACAGTGCACAAGTGTGTGCGCAGACACAAGTACACATTTTATTTCTTTCACTTTGTTGTGCCGAATTCTTGTCCCAAATTAGTACAAAAATTCGGTACAACTGATAAGAGACTAGGCGCAGAACCCACAGCTTAACGACTTTTTCCGATTTAGGTATTTCTTAACAGTAAAATTTAACTGATCAGAGACTCGAACTTAGGATCTTCGGATCAGCAGCCGTACATGTTAGCCACTAGACCAACGGGGCAGTTTTTTTTAATATATAGATATAAGTTAACCTTAAAACCTGAGTCAATACATGAACTAATCTACTGATAGCTTATCAGACGCTAGTCGGATCGCGAACGCGTTTCGAGCGAGTCGCTCCTTCGTTGGTTGTGAAATGTGTAATTCTTTGTCATTAAATAGTAATGTAATGAAATATAATAGTTTTTTTTTTAATTTCGGAAAAATTACTGTGGTTTTTTTTGTATTTTTAAAGCTATTGTTTGAGTTTTTAAAGTTTTGGAGTTTATCATGATGATTAATTGACATTATTTCGGATTATGTTACGTTATAATTTTGTACTAGTAAGACCATAAGATTATTACTTTAAAAAATATTAAAATAGTACTTTTAACACACAATATTTAGCAGTATCATATTATTAGCAAGTAGAGACTTACCCTCGCTTCGCTCGGGTTCGTCCCTAGCTTGATTCCCAATACAAACTTTCATCCCCATTTTCACCCCTTAAGGGATGATTTCCGGGATATAAAGTATCCTATGTCCTTCCTAGGGTCTCAAACTATCTTCTTATTAAATTTCATCTAAATCGGTTCAGTAGATTCAGAGATTACTCCCCCAACGTCACAAACTCCCAAACTTTACCTCTTTATAATATTAGTATAGATAATTATAATTGTAAGTTTAGTGTAAACTACCTAAGTTATTCGAAAAAAGCCCATCGAAGTCATTTGACGAAACTATTTTGATTTAAAATACAACTTTGACACAGTCTAAATTCTATAATAGTTTCATATTGTCTGCCTGATATGTTATTCTGTTGTTTTGTATTGTTTTCATTAAAAAACTTGTTTTATAAAGTCCTCGGATATTTTTGACGAGTTCACGTTTTTTATACCGTTGCTCTTTGTTGTAGCGCAGTTCCTTCCTTCTTACTTAGTCTATATTAGTAATATTATAAAGAGGTAAAGTATGTGACGTTGTAGTGGGTAATCTCTAGATCTACTGAACCGATTTAGATGAAATTTGGTTAGAAGATAGTTTGAGAGCCTGGGAAGGGCATAGGATAGTTTTTATCCCGGAAATCATCCCTTAAGGGGGTGAAAATAGGGATGAAAGTTGGTATGGGGAATCAACCTAGGGACGAAACTGAGCGAAGCGAGGGTGAGTGAAATACGCTTTGTTAGTAAACTCATCACTTAGAAACATCTGGACCATTTGGATTTTTTTTAATAGTCACAATAGTTTCAAAAAGGTGTTTAAGGAAAAAATTGCAAAAGTTGCCAGGATAATTTGAAAATCCTGGGGAACTGTTTTGTATGACCTCAAAGATTACAAATAAAACGATATTGCGACAAGACTACGTCTTTGGGGTCAGATTGTTTTATGCAATTTGTATTTCTAAATCTATTAAACAATAATGGTTTTAAATTTGTAAATCATAGACTATAGCTGTACACGATTTTGCTAATGTCAACTTTAGTGAAGGGAGACACGATAGAGATTGATCGGTAAAATTAGATAACATCAGTACATTTGATTATGAATTAGAAGTTTTTACAAAGTTCGGCTTCATGGCTAATATTTAAAATTAAAAAAGAAAGCAAAAATAACTATAATAAATATATACTAGGACTCAAACATTTAACAATTAATATCATAACAATGGATAATTAATATATATATATATATATATATATATATAGCAATATTAGGTTTGATAAACATCAAAGTTTTGTGGGGAGTTAGTGTAGACATAACCACCTGTACAAGTGGTATACGTAAATGCATTCCCCAACATAAGGCAACTTTTTATTCCGATACATCAAATGATTCTATGCGTAGAAAATTGAAATCTCTATCGTTCTATGTTTCTTAGGCATACTAGTATAGGCAATTTAAAATCATTGAATAGAATTGTTAGTATTTGAATATTTCGAACGATGACTTCATTTTATAGTGTAAATTTTGCCCCGTGTACCTAATAGCCAACTAAATTGTAGCCAATAGCAGTTTTAATTGGTTAAGGAGATCCAGTTATCATGAGCTTTTGTTACTAAACACTTCCATATAAAGCAAAGTCCATGTATATCTGGTTAGCTATCGGCTATTGTTTTAACATACCTTTTAATTGTATGGACTTCAATCCCTGTGTCATCCTGTGTCACTTTATCATAATATAAACAATAATAATAATTAGGAAAATATTCTACCCCTTAATAATTTATACTCTATGGCTATTGAAATAGAAGTTATATTGGGATGACTTTTCTTTTTATTGTCCTGTTGATATCAATCTAGCACAACAGCTAAGTTTTACTGCACATTAGAGATTTTTTGAGCTATAGAGCTTTGTTTAAATAAAAATTTACTCAGCTTTCATCAAAATCTGTCCAGTGGTTTTCTCGAGATGCGCTCCCAGACAGACAGACAGACACAAATTCTAAAAACTATAGATTCGGCCTTTGCATCGATAATAATGACTATTTCAACAAGATTTTCCAAAAAAAAATTTTTATATGTATACATGTAATTTTTTTTTGATTATAATATCAACATGAAATAAAAATATATTTGTATAATTGTGCAGTAATTTTGGCAATTCCGTATTTTTTCTGCGCTGCGTTCTAACTGTATCGTAAAATTATAGTCTTAAAGTTATTGCTTATTTATAAACAACTATGGATAGAACTCTAAACATGCCATCCATCCATACTATT